GTTTAAAGCCATTTTAATATTTCTGAATTCCTTTTTAAGCATGGGGTTATGGTTCTACTCTTTCCCTCCAGCTTGGACAGTTCTCAACCCGGTTTGAGTCGTTTCTGCCTCCGCTTGATGGCAGTGATCCAACTCTTCTTAAACAGATTGACATCTTTTCCTCAGCCACAGGGTGTGTCTTTCTACATGCTTGTGTAAGAAATGAGAAGCTACTCATTGCGTCATGTTAAAGAACTCGTTGCAGCTGAAAGATAATTTCCTGCAGTAATTATTATTATAGGAGGCTTGGGTCTCTTTGCTTAGGTAAATCCAGGTGGCAACGTTTTTGGCCAGCCAGCAAAGTTCCCTTTCCTGCAGCAGAATGCTTTCATTTGGCCATGAGCATGTTGACAACAAACCAAATCCTAGTAATGCAGCTTGTCAGATTTTTTACTTTTCTAACAAACTTGAGGTGAAATAACATCTTTCTTCTTTGGATGAAAGAAGCATTACTCATATTTACTTTACAAATCCTTCACTCAAAAAGCCAAACTAATCTTTTTGGAGTATTTTCCTTCCCATTGCTGAGGTTTTGGATAAGAGGAAATGGTGCTGAACCAGATACTCACCCACAGCTTGCTCTCGTAGTAGAAAGCGTCCAGCAGTTTGACGATGTTCTGATGATCGCAGGAGGCCAGGATGTCGATCTCCACCATGTAGTCCTCCAGCTCCTCCTCTGTCTTCGTATCGATGACTTTGGCAGCGGCGAGGACGCCCGTCTGCTTGTTCTGAGCCTAGGGGTAAAAACGCACCAATTCAATCATTCTTCATATCTTCATACAAGCTTCAAACAAGTTATCCAGAAAACACACAGATGCCAGAACCATCTGAGCCAGTAAGACTGAAACAACAGGGTTAAATCCCTCACTATGCGTGGTGTTGAAGTGGAAATTCCTTCGGACTGTTTTGGCTCCTTCGCAGACAGGATGTACTCAATGAATTTGCCGCTGCGATATGGGATGCAGCCACTTCCTGCTGATTCACAGCTCCACAGTGAGCTATGAACAGCATTTAAAACTTAATAAACTCCCATCGCTTCTGCAGCTTACAGTGTGAGCTTCACTGTGAAGCAGACAGAGGCATGGAGTTAGAACGGCAGAGTTGAATATTTCTGGATAATTATATAATCTGCAGGCTCCTCTCATCTGACTGCAGCTGGAAATATGAGCCATCATATTGCCATGTTCTCCAAATATTGCACTGCTCTAACTTTAAATGCCTCTTTACTGTCCTTTGGAAAGACTTTTTATTAAAAATTACATAAATGAATATTGTAATTAATTAATTATTAAAACTTACTCCAAATAAATAAAAAATTATGAATATTAAAAACTGATATTTTTTTATTGTGGATGTTATTTTAGCAGTTTTATTTATTTGTTTAATAATGCTACTTTGCAGTCTGAGGATCTTTTATTCCATATTCTCACATTCTTAAATGGGCCAGGTTTGGCCACAAAATGAAACACTGTTACACATTTAAATAATAATTAAATAATAAATGCTTAAATAAGTACAACTTTTTGACAAGCTTGTATAATCTATTTAAACCATATCTGTCACTGAACTCATTATTTTATGCCACTTTTATAACAAGACAAAACAGCTACCTGAATAAATCACATCTAAATCACATCTAAACATATAATCAAGAAAAATCATGTGAATCTTATAATTCCATCGTTTTATTTAAGAATACAAAAGGTTATTAAGTCTTGAATGTTAAATGCTGTCACTGAAGAATGTCCAACTGCTTAAAAGCATTGCAATAAAAGCATTGCACCAATCTCGTGAAAAATAGATCTGGGATATCAGCCAAAACCACAAAGTTCCACTTTCTACTGGATAACAAAAACCAGCAGATGTTTTTATAAACATCTGAGGTAATAGGATATTTTGCAAGTGTTATGAACTTGTATTTTTCACGCTGATGTAATATTTAGCCACTTTGGCAGAGTTTCACAGCAGCCGGTTCTCACACCGAACACAAATGGATTCGCCTGAAATGTTAAAAGTCGCAGAGAGACGAAGTAAGAGAGGAAACAAGAAAACTGGCATTGATTGCAAGATTTTTTAATGTCACGCTACACAATCGAGTTCAGTTTAGGATTCAAAAAATGCTTTCTATTTAAGGAAACCCAGTAGGTTGCAGCATTCACTTCTCCTGAACAAGTCATGAAAATATACATGAACTTGATTTGTGTCTTTGCAGCAAACCCTCATGCAGAGCATACATGTTGCGACAGTAGAGAGGAAAACTCTCCTGTAACAGGAAGAAATTTCCAGCAGAACCAGAGCCTGGCTCAGCGTGAACAGCCATCCACCTTAACTGACCGGAGGGTGGAGAAGACAATGATGGTCATCAAAACTAACAAATACAAATCTCTTCATTTTCTAGTTTAGATGTTTCTAGTTATTGGCTTCTGTGCATATTCTTCATTCAGAAAATGAATGGATGTCATATTCTGCTTGTTTCCCTCAAAGTAGTTCCATAATTTCGAGCATGACGCCACCCTCAGTCTGAGTTTACTTGAGGAACATACCTCATTCTGACCGCAGAGTAATTGGATTTTCTTTGTGGAGTTGATGATATGTTGCCCTGATAGGCTAAATGTTAGCACTGAGCTCATCATGAGTCTGCCCAGTGATTATTTTCAGTGCAAGTAGCAGATGATGCAGGAAGAAAATGGCATAAATTAAACCTTTTGTTGATATTTGATACTAGATCAACAGTTTACCCTGGTACTTAGTTTATCCTGGTACTTAGATAATAAAGTGGAACAAATAAAGAAATACAAACGGATATACTCAAAAAAACTCATCGTTTGCTCAAGCCTTCTGCAATGCCTCTAGAGACGTGTGTGCTTATGTGGGCAGTCATTTTAGTTTGATTAAATTATTTCTCTAAAATGACCAAAATAGAACCATGATGAGTTCTACCTGGGTTTGACTGAATTCACAGAAAAGTTTTGTTAGCAGCTTTAAATTATAAAATAAAGGTGGGCATTTTAAAATAAAAACATTTTCATCAAAGAAAAGTGCAGGAGTCGAGGGGAAACCAACCTTGAAAACTTTGCCGAAGGCTCCATCTCCCAGTTCTCCCACTATTTCCCAAACCTCCTCCGGGTTTTCATCCCTGCGCACATGTTCGTACTGCTTCTTCTTCTTCTCCACTCCGAGTTTAAATATCTTACGGAAATTAAAAAACGACATAATGTCTCCTGCTTGAAAGTTCATGAAGGAGTAAGACAGAATTGCAGGTTTACAGCAGGTTAATGTTGTCCCATTGGGAGTACAGCAGCAGCCTTCTTACAGTCCAGATCCAGACCTTAGCTTAGCCTTTGACACCAGTCTGCCAGTCTGCCAGCGGCTAGTCCACTCATAATAGAAGCACTTTGTACACATACAATAATAACCACTAAAATCTCAACTGTTTTGCAGCAAGTAAAACGTGTCTGATCTTTTCTTCTTCTTTTTTAAAGAAGTAACTGTTTCTAGGAATCTCGTCGTTGTTCCAACTGGCCCGACAACAGTCTGTCCGTGGGTTCCTTTCTTCAATAAAAAACACACAAAAGACAACAAAAAACAAGTACAGTTCAAATCCTCACGCTGTTCCCGACAAAGTCCCTCCCTACAGTCCAAAAGGACACCAATGAACGCAGTTTATCCGAGGTTTAGTGTTCGTAAAAACGGTTGAAACGGTCATCTTTTCCGGAGCGGGTCGGGCTGCTCGGTGCCTCGTAGCGGATTTAATGACCGAGCGCGTTCACGCACACCACGGCGCGTGCCCGCGTTTCTTTTCTTCTTGAGCTGTGACAGTTACTGGTTAACGGTTGGTGAATGAGGGTGCTAACCTAGCTTTCTGCTGCCCTCATCTGACCGGGGTAACCAACAGAGACACAACAGCTGCTTAAACTGCTCCCCCTGCCGCCTTCTCAACTAAAGCGACGATCTGCAGGCGCTTTATTATTAGTTACAGGACGGAAACAACCGAAGTCTTTTTGTTTCAGTCAAACTACGTCTACCATGATGCATTGCGGCAAAATACAATATATCGCAATATATGTATATTTATATATATATATACAAAATAGATAGAATAGGAACTTACAAATAAGTTCCAATCAAGAATATTTAGACTGACAGATTATTTTTAAGTTTCAGTGAATGGGTCATATGACAACAGACAACGCCAGCGATTGACGCTTACGTCACAGTTACGGCCATATTGTGAGTGACATATTGATCAACCCTAAATGAAAAAATAAAAATGGTGCATAGAGTCTAAAATCAAAAACTTAATTATGCAAATATTTTACTTATATGGAATCATCTTCTCTATCAAAGTAAAAAAATAATAAATAGAATCTATGCATAATATGAGAAGTATAATTCATAAAGAATGAACAAGAAAACACTTAAAAGTCGGTTTTGATGCTTGTTTTAGTATATGACAATTATACATTACTCCAAATTCTTATTATATGCATTAGTATTAATGACTAATTATTAAGAAAAAAACATTTATTAAGCTTAATTATCAAAATAACATTTATATCAGTTGTCTATTGAATAAATAGAACATCGTGAGTTTCACAACCTATACCTTACATATTATTTTCTATCAGCAATAACAGTGTACAACTTCCGTTATCATATAAGTAAGTAGTTAACATATAGAAAACTGACAACTGACTATTTTTATTAATCTAAGCTTCAGTTTGGTGCCTTTTCAGAGGAAGTCGTAAGACTTTATTTTAAGCACGGGTTTATTTTATTTTTTTTAGTTACATTTTGATCCCCAAAATGCATCAGGAGGTATCATTTAAAATGTAAAACGTTCCATCAGAATCAGATGAAACGTTTCCAACATGGATCGTCCTGGGTTCGAATGTGCCACTCACAATATGGCGGACACGTACCGTTCCTGCTGGGGAACTACACACGTAACTTTCGTGAGCGCTAGCTTGCTAGTGAGACGCCAACTGAACTTGCAGCAACAGAAGAAAGAAAAGGGGGATTTAGGAAAACATCTGGTTTTGTTTCCAGGATGAAATGCAGGCAGCTGCGATGGATCCCGCCGAGGAGCCGCCGTCCATGCTGTGGGGAATGGACCCCATCTTCTCCGCCTTCGCTCGGCTGTTTGTCAGGGACATCTTGCAGATGACAGAGTCCATACAGGTTCCAGGTAACAACAGCTTGCATGGCAGCTGCGGTTTGTTTTGAGGAAATTCTTGATGATCGCATTCAGACTGAATAACCTTGATTTAATTATCTGTAAACGAGTGAATTTAGTTTCTGTTTACTGTCTGTAGGCATTTATTTCTACAACTTACATCCCATCTACAAAGTGGACGTTCTTGGGACAGTGGTTTACAAAAGGGAGAGAGACGACTTCTTCTGTTATGGAGGTACTGATGATCTCATTGTGGATTATCACAATATTTGTGTTTAAAACATCTTAATATTTTCCAGTCATATATTTTGTAGCATATTCTCTCAGCTAATGCTGCTATTCTGTCATTGTCTGGATAGTGGATGATGGTACTGGAGTTATAAACTGTCTGTGCTGGAAAAGTAATTTATTGAAAGAAGAAGAGGATCCCAGTAAATGTAGGTCTCAGTGAGTTGAATATCAAAAATATTGACACTCAAATTTTAACCACTTTAATTTAGAGATTCGTCCTAAAAACACATATTTTTATTAAAGTTTACAGAAAATTTTTTGTTTATTTTACGTAAGCTGGGATGAAACACAGTGATGCAGCTGAAGGCGAGTTCGATCTGGTCGCAGAGCTTAGAAAACTCCGACAGAAACAACGCAAACGCTGCCACCTGGAGATCGGAGAGCTGATCCGGGTTCGAGGGCCTGTGAAGACGTCGAGGCAACAGAGAGAAATCACGGCTTCCACCTACTGTGAGAACACTCTTTAGGCCAAACATGCTTTTTAAAATATTTGTTTCATTTAATTAAAATTAAATATCACCTCACATAATCTCCACTCATTAAATATTTAAATGCACAATTGAATAAAAAGTTTAATCAAAGACCATAAATCATGTGACTCATACAGCAATAATCTTCAGTCAGAAGCCTCTTCAGTGTTGCCACACTGACTGCTACCAGAGATCTGTCTTGCCTACAGGATCACCATCCCCAGCGACTCTTTTTGAACACAAATTATAACAATTAATTTTCCTCTGGGATAAATACATTGTGTTTGAAATTAATTGAAGTCCTCCTCTAGCATCCGACTCAAAATCCAACATGGCTGCCTCTCATTTTCTTTATCGCTGTCAGTTTTTAACAGCAGGTCATTTACACACAGAGGTAAAACATCTTATTTGAAGCCCTTTATTGCAGAAAGATCCATTTATTTTGCTGATAATAATTTGCCAACAAAGAACAAATCCTGCTGGTTTTCAGATGCAGCTGGAATATGGAGTATCTCTTCTGTTCCTTCTTCTGATTGGAAACCACCTTTCCACTTTTAACAATGATCTCTGTGTTGGCTTAATCTGTGTGTGTGTTTTCCAGAAGAGCTGCAAAGGTTTTTGATGTAAACGAATGACATTTGATTTCGCTTGAGGAGTGTACAGTATGTTACAGCATGCTTGTGTCTGCATGTTTTGGCAGATAAGGTGGAAGACCCAATGATGGCGGCCCAGATAGCCTGGATGATGGAGGTCCCTCAGCTCTACAGGCTGTTTTACGACAAGCGCTTCCAGCTCAACGCAGCAGGGTACGGAGATCCGTCTCTGAGAGCAGATTAGGACAATCTCAGAACCCTGAAGATATCTAGATTACAAAACCTCTGAACATGATACTGTGGGAGGGGCAGTGGGTGGCCATCAGCAAATTATTCACAAAAACTGATATTCTTCCTTTAGTTTGTTCTCCTGTAAACCTGAAAACATTTTATTGCTTGCAGAGACTCTGAAGAAACTTCCCTTAGCAAAGCGACAAACATCATTAAAGACTTTCTGAAGCAGAAGTTGGTGGCAAAGTTCAGACCGTACGACGTCCAGGATCTGCTGGAGCCTCTGATCTCCAGCCGGCTAAAAACTCGGTCTGCAGAGCAGGTGAGGAAGACCGGAAAGGGAATTGGTTCCGTCTCGAGCATCGTTTACTACATAGACAGAATAACTCTAAAAATGTGTAAGTATAAGTCTTGGTACTTTTCAAAGAAAATTAGGGTACTGATTTCTGACTTTAGGGTCGATGGGCGTCTGGGAGCAAACGCTTTAATGACAGTGATGTGAGAGGAACTAACCTTCTGGAAGAAGAAGCCAGATTTAGGTGATTAAAGTCAGAAATCTGAAAAAAGTCAAAATCTTGAAATTAAAGTCACAGTTTTGAGATTAAAGTCAAAATTCTGGGACTAAAATTAGAATCTGGGAAGAAAAATAGAATCCTGAGATTAAAGTCAAAATTCAAAGGTCAAAGTTGAAAAAAGGTCAGAATTCCAAGATTAACATCAGTAATCTGGGGGAAAAAAGTCAGAACTTTTTCTTTTTCAGAAACCATAATCCTCTTCCGTCTCTTTAAATAATTATAATATTAAAAACTAAAGTTTCTTTAATATTTTTGCTAATTTCATTTTTCTGCCTAAATATTTGATCAATCATCTGATCTGCAGAATCAATTCCTCTTAAATGATTGTTATATTCAGCCTTAAAGCACCATAAGCATCAGTATCTGTGTGCAGGAGGCTGTTGCTGGTCCGTCTGGCTACCAGCAGCTCACCCAGCTCCTAAAGGAGGTTCTGCAGGTCCTGCAGGACGAAGGCACCGTGTACCGCAAGGTCAAGTCCCAGGATGAAGTGTATCACGTAAGAACGCAGTGGAACCGGTCCTTCAGTCGGGTTACTGTTTCCTGGATGCTTGAAGAGTTTTCTCCTCACCAGGTGACCATACAAGACAAAGATCTGCTCATAGCGGTGAAAGATATCATCAGGGAGGATTCAAAGAGAGAAAAGTGTGAGTAGACTTCAACCTGTTCTTGATTAAATTCTTCTATTTGCTGGTTTTACTGGACGTTTTGTTGGTTCTGTGTGTGTTGGTGTGTCAGCCGTCCTGTCTCTGTGCACACAGCAGAGAGGGGCTGCCACGTCCTGCACATCCTGTCGGCGGTCAGGCAGCGCTACAGCCTCAATGTGAGCAAGGCGGCCCTGGAGCTCGTCCTGCAGACGCTGGAGTGTGACAGCGAAATCGTCAGCACCAGTGAGCCACTACATCGCCTTCTGACAGCCGCGGCCTGGAACTCAAACTCAACGTGTCATCAGCACTCCTCGGTTCATCATGACTGGTTTAGATGGTTTAAAGATAAATAAAGGATAAACAGATGGCAGGATCAGCTTGTTCTGATGGCCTGAGCTGAAAAACTCTCCTGGGTTTCTGTTGAGCCCCATTTCTTTGGAACTATCAGCAGTATGAGCAGCCTTTTTTTATTATATTTTATTTAATTCTCACGTCTCTTTTGAAAAAAAAAGCTGCCAAGAAACAAATCTATCTCAGAGGCACCCATCCTCTTCCTCCTCTCGTCCATCTGTTCCTTTTTTTAAGCTGTCACAGGGAAAAGACAGGAACATAGAAGCTTATTGTCGCTAGCATCAACCCGATGCGCCGGCAGGTTGATGAACCACCTGCAGCCGCCGTCTCTCCAGTGGTTATTCGCTGTCTGACATTAACTCCTCCTCACATCATGGTGGAGGAATTTTGGATTTTCTTTTATAACTCTTGAGGTTTATAAATATTCAGTTATTAAAAATAATCTCATTTATCCCATAAAGTGTTATTACCAGTGTCTGCAGAGTGTTGAGCCAGTTTTTCATTCAATGTAAAGGGGCCTGACATTGCAATGTTTTTTTTGCCCAAATAATTTTTGATCAAGAATGACTGATGCCATTATTTTGGTTAGGTGTCGGTATTCAGGTTTTTCCACTTATGAATGTAGAGTTTGCCATGTAGATCAAGAATTTCAAAATAAAAAAACAGAGGACTTTGTTTTTCTAAACTGAACATTTTATATTTTTCTTAAATATATTTTGTTTTCAAATTTTTACAAATATATACAAATAAAAGATAATCCATTAATGGATTGTCGACCTGAACCTGCATCTTTCGTCCGCTGGGGTCAGTGTTGGGTCGTCAGTTGTCTCCTCCACGCAGAGCGGCCGCCTCTGATTGGTCGCCTGTGAAACATCTGTATTCAGTTCCAGTGGTTCGTGTCTCCGGCCAGAAAGCTGCAGCTGACTGAGAGCTCGGCGGTCAGACAGCGCGGCTTCCAGCAGTAACAGCCGGTAACATGCAGCTGCCTCCCGGGCGCGTCGCGTCGCTGCGGGTCGGTCTGGATGTTTGGATCAGGCTGTTTCGGGCTCTCTGACGCTGACAGAAGAACTTCTGGGGCCCAAAAGGAAGACGAATGAATGAGTCAGGATTACGCAGCAGCCCGGTCACAATCAGTGTCTCTCTGAGTGGGGTTTTCTTCCCGGGATCAAACCGTCGTCCCCGCTGCTGGAGCCGGGTCCGCCGCTGAGGATCCAGGTCTGCAGCCGGAGGTTTTTTTCTGAGCGACGCTGCAGACACAAAGGAGCGCTCCTCTCGGTTCTTCCTGCTTTTAAGGTGACAGCTTTCCCTCTGCGCTCCCACCAGCAGCCCAGACTGTCTGAGAGACCTGATCTATCGGACTATTGATAAGTTTCAATCAGATTTCCTGCCGTTGCGTCGGGAAGCTGCCGGGTTGGACGAGGAATGTTGTGATTTATTTATTTTTATTCTAAGGAGGAAGCAGATCCATCCGGAGCGTTTTAATGCAAAGCCTGTGCAGGATCAAGATGCAGTTCCGGACGGTGCTGGACGTGAAAGTTGTGGACGTGGAGAAGAGGCGGAATCCGTCCAAGCACTACGTGAGTTCTCCTCATCTCCCAGTAATATTAACATTCTGGTCCAGTTGGATACGAGGCGTCGGGATTGGTCTCTGGCCTGTCCGCGGGCGCAGCGTGGCACCTAAACGCACCATTTAGTCCGCAGCTGAGGGGAGATGAGGCAGCAGGCCAGGATGTGATGCGGCTCCACACCTGCTCATAAATAAGAAAGCAGCCAGACACTGAGCAGATGAAGCCTCTGCTGCTCCAGCTGACAGGTGAACTCCTACCTGAGTCCTGTCATGGCTGCAGCTCATTATCTCCATCACCACTGAAACTGCTGAAGGGCTCTCCGCTTCTTTACTCACTTATCAGGTCTGAATTGTTTGTTTTTGAAACGACTTCAAGCTAAATATCTCGAAACATCTAACTAAACTAGAACATTTTAGAAGAAATCTGAAGGGTGCCACCTAGCGTCCAAACATCCTCCCACTTTCCGCTGTTGGGAAGCCATGTTGAAAAGTTCCTTACTGGTTGGTGTCCAATTAGTGTAAAGCAGGATGGAGCCTGGATACAGACCAGAACCTGCTCAGTTACGTTGTCTGAATGGTTGCTGTGGAGATTCCTGTGTATTCTCAGGAGCCCACAGCATCACTTTTTTTACACATGGGTTACCAAGGACACCAATATCAAGGTGTCCTGAGGGTGAAAAATGTACCGTGTTTCACTCCCTGCAGGGTTTTAATGACGACAGAAGGTGCACCAGTGATCAGAGAAAAAAATCCAGAGGATTCAAAGATCACCATACTTCCTCTCTACCGTGCTTGACTATCAGTATGATGCTGTGTTCATTTTACCAGAGTAACCAGGAGAACATCTTCCAAAGGTTTTGTCTTTGTTTTGTCGGTCCTTCAATATCTTCTTAAAGCTCTCAGGGAATCATCTGGATGTTTGTTCTTTCTTTTGCAAAATGAAAGACGTTCCCTTATATTTTCTTTTTCTGCAGTGGTTTTGGTCCTAATAGATGCAAATTTTGCCCAGTATTTAGTTGATGAATATTGAACACTAATGTTGACAGAAACTAGTGAAGCCCATGGGTCTTTAGATGATGTTTTGAATTCCTCCTGATATAAATAGATTTATATAAATAGATTTTGTGACTAATAGATGAGAGACTTTGTTTCTCATCTGTTCTTGAATTTTTTTAGACTAGCCTGACCATAATGTCCCTTCAATGCTCTTTCTGGGATTTCTCCATTGAGATGCATTTCTCAGGATGAACTTCAGCCGAACCAGCCAGAGAACAAAACAAGTTGTGGTGAATGATGATGCTAACTTTCTGGCTGTTTCAGAATTGTAGTCTGGCTTCTGGTTGTAGTTTGGCAATTGCAGCGGAGTAAATGAACAGTTTGTGTTATGTTTGTGTTCAGTTTGTGTTGGCCGTGGTTTTAAATATTGAGTATTTTAAGTCGGAGCAAGAGGAATGTTTCAGACATTGTTCAGTGCCGCATTTCTCTGTCTTTGCATCGGAAAATGGCTCCTGATAGAGCACACAATTTACATTTAGATTTGTAGCGTAGCTTCCTTTACGATCGAGCTGGTGCATTAGACATGTCATGGCCAAACATTAGCGATTGGTTAAAATCAGAGTCAATCATTTCAAAGTCCACACCTAAAGAAAACAATAGCTGGGGTGACCAGATCCTCCAGACGAAGCCAAGCGTATAACGAGGTCTGTAACACAAACCAGACAAAATCAAAATGTTCTTCAAAGTGCAACGTTCATTCATCTGCAGCTACTAGAACCTCATGGATAAGGATGACTTTCCAAAACTTTTATGAAGCTGTGCAATACAGTGAAGACATGAATTTCTGTGAGATGGATCCAGGTCTTTGTTGGAATAAACTGCAGCCAGACTCTGTGATTGAACAGGTTGCGTCATCATTTCCACTTATTTGAGAGCAGCAATAATGCAGAAAAGTCCAGCAGAGATTTTAGAGCAACATGATCTGCCTTCAAGACCACACCATCTCCAGGGAGATCTATGCATTTTCCAGCAAGTCAATGGAAAAACCATTTTCCAAAGCCACAGCTGAGGAAGAGGAGAGGAGGATTATTCTACTGCAGCCCTGAACTGCCTCCAGTGAAGAATGTGGAGAATTTAAAAACTAAAAGTGAAGTGACACCCCCATGTTGCTGGACACCTGAGGGCAGGTTTGCAGAAGGAATGGAATAAAACAAAACTTGAAGAAACACTGATGGGAAAAACAATCTGACCTATGCAACCTGGGAAAAACTCATCAGGAGCAACTTTTTTTGGAATATGGAACAAAGCTGAAGAGAGAACACAAGACAGATCTGGGCGGTTTGGATTTCCTCTCCTCAAAGCATCTGGAACTGATTAAAGCTCATCATCCCGAGTGGAAGGTCTGGCCTTCCTGCTTCCTGATCAGTCTCCGACAGAAAATGTAGGACAATTGAAAAACCAGAAATGGGGCTATCCCTCACTTTTACACACCCTAATACATTTGTGCAGAAAGAATCAAACGATTTGATTGGCACTAAACTGCATTTGTTGATTGGTTCATTGGTCCAACAGCATCTCAACCCATCTGTCACCATATGATTATTGAGATGAGGAGCTGCAAGTCGATAATTCAGTGATCAGACTAGAAATCCAAAGCTTTTTATCAGCTGTGGTGGAAGAGCATCAACTGGACAAGAAAACCCAAGACAAACAAATACTTAGGAGAAACTGGCTGCCCACAGGTACACACAAAATAACATGATCAGACTGTCAAATCATGGTGAAATGGGAAAAAACTTCAGTGTTGCAGCTTTTTACTAAATGTTTTTGCAGAAACTAAATAATGAAATAGTTATGAAAACCAGGATATACTTGGTATTTACTGCCTACTTTAAAATAAGACATAATAAGAATCACAGCATTGCTCAAAGTGCAATTAACCCCCCTATGAAAGCATAACCAAACTTGACAGATGTTGAAGGCTTTCAGTAAAGTGGGTGGAGCAAGATACACAGAGGGGCTGGCCAGGTGTGGGGCATGGCCAGGTGTGGGGCTGAGCGGAGAGGAACGTGAGGCTGTTTGCTAAGTTTTCTACTTTCTAGACCTCTCTAATGAAAAAGATTAAGTCCTGAATATCCTATCAATACAGTTTATCAGCAAATACAAGTTGATTTGGTTGTTAGTTGCTCTTTGTTTATTTAAGTTCATATTTTTCTCATTATTATTATCTTAGCCTTTTAAGAAATTCTGTTCTGGAAAATCTTAAGTGCTTTCTGACTATTTCTCCATCTCCCTTTCACGGTTTCTGTCGTTCTGTGAGAATGTAGGTCACTTTCACCTACTGAGACCTGATGACGGGCTCCAGTGATTGTTATTGCCTTCCTGAACCAGCCACCCCCACCCGACCCCTCACCCCGTCCACTCATCAATAGCAGGCTTGTTGAAGTGTGTGTGTTGAGGCTCTGTGCTTCAAGGCTCCAGTTCAGATCCTGTTTCAGCCTCATAAACAAGTCATAATAAATGACCACAATGAAAGGA